TAAGCCGAATGCTGGCCAAGGCTGGCATTGTCTACTTCCTTGTCATAAAGCGATGGATTTCGATTTGTTGTGTCTTGGCAGCCATTTTTATTTGATAACACCTCTTTGTGCGTAAACTCTCACACAGCTTGAAAACATATTGATGGCTTCTCTGTACAGCTGCAGCTTACATCTGCGATTCGTTTTCCAATTTAATTGTACTGTTTGGGTATATAGCGCAGATGTCTATCTGCCACAGCTCGCATGTAGTCTCGTTCTGGTCCAACTTGTACACGCTTCTGGTACACCAACACACTGCTGGCTGGCAAAGCCTTGTTAAGTAGCATGGCGGTTATGCTGGCGTTTATGAAGCCGATGAAGACGATCACATCTGAACCCAATATGCAAAACTCGTCTCAGAGTTTGTTCAAACAATACATCTGGTGAGCTTGTCTCGTCCCACCATTTAGGCTAGTCTGGAGTAACATGCTGACTGCTGCTCATAGGCTACTTGTGGCGCCAGTTGCGACACCGCCCAGCCACTCGCCTGCCCACGCACACTTTTCAGTCTGCTCTCCTCGCGCAGAACAGGGAGCCTCAGCCTCGATGCGACACGGCTGGATGCACAGAACCCAGCATGTGTTCTGAAGCCCGAAAAGTCCACTGATGACAACAAAACAACTCAAGCATGGATTGCAGCGATGCAAGTCAAGTTTGCTTCCAAGCCTCTTCACTTCCGCTCCCAACACTGTCCAGAAAAGAACGAATCTGGGCACACCTGCCAATCCAGCTCAACTGCGCGAACAACAGCGCTGCTTACATACAACTTGTGTATTCCACAGGATCATCTGAGGCTGTGGCAGGTTTGGAAACTGGACACTGTCAACAGCAAGCAGCTCCTTGCTGATCCCAGCATGTAAAAACGTCGCTTGTGAATAAGTACTTGGTATTCCCATGTCAATTAATAAGGTGAAAAGGGTAAACAAAAGGTACCTGGAAAAGGTATAATGTTTTTATTCATGTTGGGTTACCTTTTTTGCGCGCTTTTCATGTCCGGTTTTCCGAATCACCATTCTTTTTTGAAGACAAACATGGCTAAGCCATCCTGCTCTGCGCTACCCTCTACAGACCTTCTGAAACTTATTGCAGCAAGCAAAGCTATGAACAGCCTGCCGGACGCTACAGCGCCGGCACCTCAATCTGTCGATATCTACATACGGCTCATGTGTGTGGTGGACTCCCAACGCAGCAAATTGAAAGCCACCAAAACAAGGCAACCCCCAAACAAGCCTGCAGTCTGGACCTGCGCCAAGAACTTCGGACTTGGAGCCCACACCGCACACATTTAGGCTGCCTGCTGCTGCCCTTCGTGTTGAGTCGAAACGAATGAACCGGATGAGTGACAGAAGTTTGTTCAACCAGCTGCACCCTAGTAGGTGGTTTTGGTCCTTGCTTCCGCAGAGCTTGCTTGGGCAGGTTTTCATGCCAAAAGTTGTATCTTGCCATCAGCGCTTCCTGAACCTTCCGGCCATGGCCATCAACTGTGGTAAGCAACGCAACCCGATCTTTGAGACACCACTGCTTCGGCAACCACGAGGCAACATCTCGCGGAACCTTGTCAGCTTCGGAATTGGCATGATGCTGCCAGAGCTCTTCAGAATAATCTGGTTGCTGGTGGGAACGTGTCCAGGCAGAACGAAAGGCAGGCCTGTCTTGGAACAACAACTTCACTTGCAACCCAGTGGATGGGTCGTTCAAACGCTCCAGATTTGCTTGCGAACTTTCCTCACGCGACGCACACACAACTGTGAATCACCGCAAAATTCAACCGCTCCAATGATATACTCGCACAACATCTTACTGGCATGAGCCTCAGCGCGAGGGACCGTCTGTTCATATCTGGAAGCACCTTGTTTTCAAGGTTTTTGCACCTGTGTTTGACCTTTGTTGCACCTTTCCCGACCTTGCTTTTCTCTTATCTGACCTTTTTCACCTTTTTCCTCCTTTTCGTAGGACTCCTTTCAAATCCCAGAAGTGCAATGCGCCGGAGCTACCTTTGTCTGACTTTTTAAATTGTTTTTCTGCGCAGGCTTTGAAATTTACATATTGCACCTTTCGTTTACCTTTTTGACCTTTTGCAAGTGCCTTGTTCTTGCCTTTCTGTTGGTGCGTCACCTCTTTTTCGACCTTTCCTGACCTTTCGTTCACCTTCGGAAGCACTAAGTAATAAAACCCTGCTGACTGTGAGCACCCACAGGTTGGAAGGTTAGCTGTCAAGTAAACGATGAACTCACAACCTCAAAGCGCTGGAGATGGCACCGCATGAGCACATTTGACGCAGTTGCTGTGTCCTCCGCAAGGTCACTGCTTGCTCGTACAGCTTCTTCCTGACAGGCGGCTGATTCCGACGGCGGTACCACCAGGTAGCTTGCGAACCACGGAGATCGGCAGCCAAACTCAAACTGGCGTGGCAATGAAGCAAAATCCTCAACCATGCCCCAGCCTCAGGCACATCCAGTAGTCGGCTTAGCATATCTTCTCCGACCGGTAACTCAGGGTCCTGCATATGCTGCACGCATGCTCCATGAAACAGCTGCGTTACAATTGCTTGTGCAGGATGTCAGTGCATCAATCGAATATCAGGCAGCGCTGACGTCTGTTAGAGAACTTATCAGTGTCTTTCTTCTTGCGCATCGACTTCCCTGGACGAGCTTTGGCGAAGATTCGCAGGCCTCCAACTTGAGGAATTCGCTCCTCACCTTGGCTTGTAACATTACTCTACTACCCAGACGTTGAGAGGTGGAAATGCGGAATGCCTCGCACCTTGACCTGCTGCAATGTAGCTCTCAGGCGCACATGACAATGCTTAAGTTCTGCAAAACGCGCGTCTAATACCAAAAACTTCTAGAACAAACAGCCCTCAGCAGCGGAAATGGAAAAGCGCACTCGCGCACCTTGCTACAGAAAGCAACAAGCTGGGTATCCGGCCACAATGTACACATCACCAGGCTCTTGACTACTAGCGCCTGCAAAGTTTCGTTCTCGAACCAAAAGGCACGGGACTCTGGGATTGCAACGGGAAATCCTCTTACACACAAAGGACGGGGAGCACACGTCGCAGAAACAGGGACTGACAATGCTGCCGCGCCCGAACATGATGCCCCGTCCTCCAACGCCTCCCGCATCTAATGTTGTTTCCGCTGGCAATTCCAAGGCTTCCTGCAGGCCAAGAGCTCAACATATATTAGGCTCATGATTCTGCTGGCACCTCATGAAGGCCGAACTTTTTGAGCAAGCCTGCTCTGCGTAGGATCTCCTCACCAGCTTGTGGTATGTGTGCGTGATCCATCACAACTGGTGCCATGTGGACTGTGATACCCAAGCCTGACGTAATCTACCCTGTCTGTTGAAGCCCTCCCACCACTCCTCTTGCAGTTCGGCAGATTCTTCTTCCTGAGGTCATGCGTTGGGAATCGAACTAGCTCATCGCACCATCAACATCTTTTGTCACCAGCATCTACTTTACTTCAATCGGAGGCTCAGAGTTGGCCTCCACCACAAGGCCGGGACCCCATGTGGCATTCGACATCCGGAAGCTTCTTCAACAGTTGAGATTTCTCTTTCATGAACAAGACGGTGCTTGATGGCAGAAGCCACAACCAGAGTCTGTGTCAACTTGACAAATCGTGGATGATTCACTGCCCACTGGCGGCGGAGAATAGGCCAAAGGATTGATTCAGAAAACTTGTAACAATCAAATCATGATCTCACCGCCCTCGTCTTTGTGAACTTTTGCGAACTCAGCTTTGGCCACGGCCCCATGACAGGGTCCTTGTGGAGCAAAAATCGATTCAAAACACTCTACACGAAACACTTCACCCAGCATGGCGAAGACATCTGGGTGCACCAAAACCCCATGGCCACATGGGTGGGATCCAGCTGGAGCAGCTGCTGCCGCCATCTTCAATTGCAAGGTTGGGCAAAGGTTGATGTCAACGCTCAGCGGCCCTCAATGCAGTGAAGCCAGAAAGGCTGCCGCCAACACGCAGGCCGTTCTTCGCATCACATGGCGAGAGCATGCTCGAAGATGCTTGGAGTTGCTCTTCTCGAGTTCGAGTTGGGGCCGGGGCTTGCTGCGTGTGATTGGTACGAAGACAAAAGGACTACGTGCCTACATGCTTGGCTCAAGGCCTCAACACTCGGATTAGGCAGACCACATCCTTTGGTACTTGACTGACAAACGCCGCAGGAAATTTTGTAGATTCAGATTCTTGCAAAAGATGAGGCGCAAATCCCAGGCTCTCGTTGCATCGTGGTGAGATCATGACAAGTATACAACTGAGCAAAGGCTTTTGTCTCCTTCAGCTTCGTTAAGATGCAAGGCATGTCGCAGACATCTTCAGATGAACTGCGCTGCAGTCTGAACTGCAGTCTGCGGCGGCTTTACTTGCCTTGGGCAGCATGGGCGGCTTCACGTTGGGATACCGGATCCTTGGCTCCTTCAAGAAAACTCTGCTTGGAACAGCTGCAGTACCTGATTAGAGTCGAAGCCCCGGCACACCTACCCGAGAAAAAAGGCAAGCGTAAGCCATAATGAGAAACAAACAGCGCGAAAGAAATGCGAGATCCTCAAGCTGGCCAGCGGAGAGCCCTCTGTTTTTGGATCCCAAGATCGGTGCACCTCCCCAAGTTCCTGGGGGAGAGCACCAGAACGCGCATGGACATCTTCAAATGAGCTGCGCTGCAGTCTGGACCGCAGCTTGCAGCAACTAACTACTACTACCCTGAGTGGCTATAAAACTCAACCCTAGAGGCAGCACTAGAGAAGTACGGAATCCTCAAGTTGGCCAGCCAGGGCCCTCTGTTTTTGGATCCCAAGATTGGTGCACCTCCCCCCGAATTGCTGGAATTGCTAGAAGGGAGGCTGCTAAAACGATGAAAAAAAGTGATGGCTGCGGTAACGTTCGCTCTGCATGGTGCCACGGGGCGCTGTGAGCAATCCATGTCCAGACTGCCCAACTTTACGGGTACCAATTCCAACCGCCAGGGCAACTCAAGCCCTGCACTCTGTCCAACTTCACTGGCTCGTTCGTCGCCCAAGAATCGGGGCAGTGTGCCTTGGATATTCTCCAAACCTACAGTCTGGAAGCCCCGAAGTCTGAAGGCCAAATCAAGCAAAGTCTTAAGGCCGGAGTGAAGTACCACCAAGGAGCCTCTTTGTCCAAGAGCAACAGGTCGCCATCCCAGAAGACAACTTTTGAATCTGTCTTAGCATTGGTGTTGACTTGGCCAGACGACATAAATAGCACGAGGCTAGGCGTACCAACAATTCCACATATGTAAAACGATGATGCAACTGTGGCCGGGTCTCCCTCCGGCCGTGCACATTGCCGCCGCGCGTCGTTCCAGGCGTTTGCCAGATCCTGTTGCAGTTGGTCGTGTTTGAAGCTTCGAACTCAGGGTTGCAACAGGGATGAGCAGGGTGGAAGTTGTGCAAGTCATGTACACACGCTGTTGCAACAAGACTAGGTGTCTGCTTCAAGGCAGACTACGACTACTGCGTCGTATGAACCAGGTTCGACTTCGACACGACCTGGCCGCGAACCGTGGCATTCCTTCAACCTCGAATCCCAACTGCTTCGCCTAACGGACCCTGTTCCGCACCATACACACAGAAGCACGGCGTCCTTACGGCCGGTTGTTTTCAGGAAAAATAATACTTAAAGATGAGAATGGTAAAAGTAATACGAGTAATGTTTTGGGTTTCAGCGGCTCCCGCCTGACATTGATGACATGATCGCCGCACTTGTTCTGACCTTCGAAATGGTACCTTCTCCCCTCCTCTGTCGCGGTCCACGTCGGATAGTGGCAGTGCCGGAGTTGAAGAGAATCAATATCCCCTTCATTGACGTCCAAGTTGATGTCGTCAGCATTGAAGTTAAAGTATTTGCCCTGGGACTGAGTTGCATCATGCCATGTGTTCACCACCTTGATGGAGGCGTCGGGGTTTGCATCCACCGTGAACCCCCAAAGTGAGCCGGTTGCATGCCCAGGCCGGATGTGGATGTTGTAAAACCAGGACGAGCCTCGAGCGGGCTCGTGCGCAACGAGGCGGTCATCAATCTCCAACCAGATGCTGCCCTGGCTCCTGACACAATGTTATCGCCGCCACACGTCACACTGAGAGCTCAGCCTGGCCCCTAAATCGCAAGCCTACAAGCCGCCCTCGTTCCTCTTGAGGCGATAATGGTGCCACTCATTGTTCTGGACAGGCGATGCCATGACATCTTTCCATCCAGCCTGACATGTTTCACAGTGCAGCTGGACTCTTTGAACCCTCATTTCAAGCTGTAGAAGGCGTGGGCGCCTACAAACAAGATGGGCTATGTGGCTGCGGGAGAACTAAATGGAAGGGAACGGTCGGAAGCTCTCAGAGACTGACAAACGCTACCGCTTCTGCACTGCTCTGCAGCCAGTTTGTCTTCAGATACCACAGCATACCACGTGTGTACAATGGAAAGGGACGTTCGTCCGTATAGGGACCAAAACAAGCCATTTCGAAGACTAAGGTCTAGGGCTTGGTAGGCTTAGGTGGTTACCGTGGCAAAGTTGGGAACTTTCATGGGGTGAATCTTCAAGATTTCTTTGTTCAGCATGTCAGGTTTAGAGAAGTCATCCTCATTGCTGTCAGGGGCCGAAACTTTTTGACAGTAAGGCCTGCGGGTAGCCATGGGCGAATGATGTTTGTAGCATGCCGTTCGGAGCATCCAAGTACCAACCAACACCACTGGCAACTTCGTCTGCAAAATCGAGCTTAGCATAGCTGTCGTCACCCAGGCCGGACAGGCGCATGTAGAAGCCTCTGCGCTGACGCTTGTCAGGCTGTCCGGTTCTTGTGTTTACTCAAAGGTTGTGTTCATTTTATTGACCTAGCCGCGCGTTATCTTTGGTCTCCCCAAGCCACTTTGCTCACAGCTTCTGCTTTCATCTAGGCGTAGCAGCTTTTGATGAACCCACCTCATCCCTCCCTGAGCTCGCCGCTGTTCTTAGCCTTCTGGGCAAGCTTGCTGTTGCTTCTTTCTTCTATGCGGCGGGGTGCGGGGTTTTAGCTTGATAGCTTTGCTGGGGCTTGCTACTTTGCTTGGATATCTGTGCTTGAGCACCACTGCCAAGAAGAGTGTCTCTGTGCGCTTGCTTTGTAGGTGTAGCTGCTTGTGTGGCTTGGGGAGAAAATGTGAACGGTTAAGTTCGCATGTCGACACTAAGCTTACAGTGCCAATTATCGTTGCATGAAGGTCATTTGCCGTCTGCCAAGAATTCCTGGCATGCTTTCAGCAGGCTGGGCAGGCAGCCCATGCATGAATCAAATGCAACGGAGGCTGACGCACCTACAAAGCCTAGGTGAGGGACACCATGCCTGCTTCGAGGAACTTGGGGCGTGGGGAATCCTGCAGCCGAAGCTGAGCTAATTCGACTGCTTCAGGCAAGGCTCTGACCTCCCACTTGAGGATTAAGCCAGAGCTGAGCTTGAGGTACATTCCATCCCCAGCGTTTGTACCGGTACAGCTGACGTACCTGCAGCAACTCCACGTTAGGACCCACCCTTTTTCAACACGGCACCCTGAAACAAGCTGCTGCTGCTGCTGCTGATGCTGCTGCTGCTAGCAAACCCGAAGGCCCCAAACCCCAACACATCTGTCAAACAAATCCTCACCTCCAACCCGCACCCCAGCCTGTTCGCGACATTCTGACAGCCGCGAGACGGCAAAGGGAATTTGTTTTGGACTGGAATCAGCACCGGCCATGCATGAGGAGTGGGCTGGATTCGCAGCATCAAGGCAGAGAATGTTCCCCGAGCTTCATAAATATCTCCTGGGCCGTACCTGTACAGAAGGTCCTTCGCAACAGTCACGTCCTTGCCTGAGAGCTCGAAGTCCCAGAAGAGCGGTGATGTGTCGGAGTCCCACTGTGGGTTGTCATCCCGGCACACCAGCGTCGACTCTGGTAAGCCTGAGCCTGAAGCACACGTGGGCACCTGGAAGTGCTGCCCATTGATTGTGAGGATTGGCGTGTTCTTGTTGCGCTTCACGATGCCAATGAGGCGTACAAAGCCTCTGGGGCGGAGATTTGTCTAGGCCCTTCTACCCAAACAAGAAGACAAGCCAAGATGAACAGGGAAAACCCAAGCCTTTCGGCTGGGACACGGAAACCTTCACCTCGCTCCAGGTCTCTGCAACATTCTCCACAGTGTAGACCTGGGCAACATTGGCCAACCATGCCAACAGCTGGTATCAGAGCTCTCCCCGCTAACAACTTACACGCGCACAGAAGCAACACGCCTTGGTGCCCGAGGTTAAGAGGTCCAGCTTCTCCATCATCCCCATAGACCTGTCGTAAAGATCCCGCTGCAGGCTCAACTTCGCCTTGTAGTCTGTTAAGGCCAACGGATTGCCGTGGGTGATGCTCATCTCATCGCGACAGCCGTTGTCGCACAAGACCTTCCTCAGCCGGAAATCAATGAACTTGTCTCGCGACTGGTCGAAGAGATACTTGTAATGCGCGCTGACCCTCTGGAACTTCTGCTGCATCTTGCGGTGCACATCGAACTCAAGCACCGTATTTTCAGTGCAACTCACGGGGCATGTGTCTTGGCCGAAGCCACAGCATGCCCTAGCCTTCTCAAGGGCCGTTGCACCTGTCTCACCAACTGCTTTACAGTATCCGCGCATGTTCTGGACCACATTGGCTTCCTCGGATCGCAGTCAAGTCCCACGAAAGTGAGTGGTGCCTGTGCTTGGTTGTTTGAGATTTGCAAATTGCCAGCCGCGCCTTCGGAGCATACTTGGTGACGATGTGCTGCAAGAAGTCGGAGCGAATGAAATCTGAGAAAGGGCGCAAAATTTCTTCAGGGGTTCGGCTTGAGACATGCGCGGTTGACAGGGGAGCGGGAACTGTTCAATCAAGGGCTTGATAGAGTTTCTTGCAGTGTGGGAGGCCTTTGTTGTTGTAGCCGTAGAAGTCCAGCTCAGTGAAGCGAGCATCCACAAGCGTGGCTGCAACCGCTCCACCGTTTAACTGCGCAAACCTTGCTTTTGCAGCATAGAGGTCGTGGAAAGGCTCGTCGGTGACAGTGCCCCAATTCACGTGCTGTAAGACGAAGAAGGGCGCCAGAGCTTCAGCCTAGTGGGGAGACAACTGGATCACATGTTGTACAGCAAGCAGATGGTAACACTTTACGCCGCACTGCCAAAAAATCTGTTCGAGCCCACTCCAATTTCAGGAGCCGGCGGGTTGACAACATAAGGGTGGTAGACGCTTGTACAAGCAGGGCTCTTTTGGGCCTTACGGGTGTACTGTCGGAACAGAACTGCCCATGACTCACGGTTCGTCCAGTTATAGGAACACCAAGCTGCCTCGAAAACAATGAGAAGGTAAGCAGCTGAAGGGCAAAAGAGGTTGAAAATTGAAATCTCGGCTTGGCTGCCCAGAAGAATTTGATCCCTCTGAAGGTTTGCGACGCTACGAGTTGAACATGTTCCCGCCTCGCAGGTGCAGAGCATGTCCGAAGTGCCTGTGATTTCCTGCCAAGGTCAAAGCGTGAAGTTCAGGCCAAGGTGAGGGGCCAAAAATCCTTCGGGCTCCGCGGGATCTGCGGGCTCCGGCTCCAGGACTGGTGGTGTAAGCATGCACTGTGCTCCTGTAGTCTCCCTGAGGTTGGACCGGAAGTCCTGACATGCCTCTCAATTGCCGGTACACAAAAAAAACAAACCCCAGCCCCAATTCACCGGACCAAGAGAGAGCCTTGTCCAGTTCCGTGCCGCAAACCCACAACCCCAAGAACCCGCGGAACCTCGTCGCAGAGCTTCTCTTCAAGCACCTGCCATGCAAACGTTACAGAAAGCTGCTTTTCCGTTGCCACGAGGCGCATGGAGTAGTTGGGCTTTGTAGCAAGCAGCAAGTCGTTCATTGAGGCTTTCTGAAGGCTCGATTCACCCAAACCCGCAGCACATAGTGGAACTTGATATGGTGTATGGAGCCCTCCATGCACGGATTGTGTTACCCAAATGCTGGAATGCTCAAGGGTCTTCCCGGATTTGGGCGCAGGCGCTTCAACCCAGAAAATGGATGCACCACACGGTCACCGCATTCGGGAACGAAACATCATGGCCATCTGTGTGACTCGGGTTTACATGGGTTCTTCGGGAACAAATCAGACTCTCCACTTGCCACCAGTATCTGCCCGCACTCAAGGCCTCCATGGCCTGCATCCTGGCTCCAGAGCAGCGCCAAGTCGGCGTGCCAACACGAATGCAATGGTTGATATTCCCCGGTACACTTCACTAGGATGCTGAACATGTGGGATCCTGAGGAGAGCCCAAATCAATCCATCACAGAACCGGAGCGGCCACAGCCCGCGGTGCCAACGCAAGTCGAAGACAGATTCGCTCGGGAAAAGCCCGCAAACTCCAGAGCCTTCATCCCCAAGCCCCACCCAAACATGCCCCGCGTCTGGCCTCGCAGGTGTCCGCATTTTCTTGCGCCGCTGCTGTGCATCGATGCCCGAAGCTTGCACAATACCTGGCAGGGCCCTGAAACCTTCACCTGTCCATCAAGTGAAAGGCTGGGACCACCAAGCTCACACGTCGCCTTCTTTAATCTTCTAGCTTGAGCATGATGTGAAAACATGAATGCAGGCGTTCGTGATATGCCTCCTGCTGTTTGAATTGCCAGGTCTCCTTACCCCGAGGTTCAGGGGTTCGGCCGGTGCCAAATGAGTGACATGGACGAGGCTATTCTGAAGCGCAATGGGCAGAATCAGGTTGTAGGTGCGAGAACATGCTACGGGGTATGTCTTTGTTGCATAGCTGTAGCACCAGATGTATGACCGTATGACTGTACAGCTTTTGCATCCAGGGTCAATGCACAATGTCTTTTGGCATGGGCACCTGCCATAAAAGGGTTGCCTGTCATGTCGCATCATGTCCTAGCTGCCCTCTTACAGTATCAGTCCCTGAACGCCACCTGCTTCATGTCTTTGCTCTATGGTCTTTCACTTCTTAAGGAAGTTGTACTGCCACCCGATCCGTCAAAGATCCGAAGCTTGCGTCCACATGGGCCGGCCTGTCGCAGCGGCCTGGACAGGCTCGGGGGGGAAAAAAACGACTCAATCTCCGGTCTAGGTCTTAACGAAAATTCATTGATGCCTTTGATTGTTGGCTGTCGGTGGCTTGGCGTCCGGAGCGCATTCAATGGGCTCGCTTTAGCTGCAGAAACTCTAAAAGGCTCTACTTTGGACTGATCTCCACCATCTCAGGATACTCTGCAGTGCTCTGCCATCCACAACATGTTGCAGCTGCCACTGCCCATTTGCCTCCATAAGGCGCTGTCAGCCTAAGTGACTAAGCAATTGCACGCATGTCAGGGAGTCGGTCGCGCAGGTGAATGAGAACACTGAAAGGCTGCGCCGAATCCTGGCATTCCATGTGCGATTGTTCTGAAAACATGGTCAGAAATTCCCGACATCTCTGTAATTCCAAACCATCTCATTTCTTTTGGAATCCGACCGTATCCCCAAGTGGAGGCTAGGCCAAGCGGCACGAGAGCCCTGCAGCCGCCACATGTCAGGCCATCCACGCTGGGCCATTGACTGAAGGGCGCGCAGGACTGGCAAGGGGGCCAAGTCAAGCAGAAGCTTGCTGCAACCCGAAACCGTCGCACGAGGCACATAGGACCAGAACAGCCATGCCAGACAGGTTGGCCACACTTCGCGTTGGCTACACACCCCTCAATCATCACAGCCCTGAATTTCAAAAAACAGCCAGCGCACTGCTGCACAGCGCAAAGCAAACTACGCCCTTATGAAGATCCCGCCACACAAGCTGCCTTGTACTTTCCTTCGAAGTGGCTCAGAAAGTCCGGCATAGCACCTGCATCGTCAGGGGCCAACTTCTGGCTTCTGGTGCAAGGAACTTGGGTGGCTGAGCCGGATCCCGCCTCGGTTCCCGTAGTAAGCCAGCTCCTGGAATTTGCCATCCACTTGTATGGTGGCATACCCACCGCCATTGTACTGAGCAAACTTGGAATCTGCCGCAGCCCGGTCGTAAAAAGTCTCGCTGTCCACATTACCCCAAGTGATGTGGCGCATGACGACGTAGTAAGGGAGCGCCTCTGATGCTTTGGCAAAACCAAGATGCAACAGCATCTCAACCTCATCTTCCTATCCCTGCAAGAAAGATGAGAAAGCAGGGAATGAATGTGCTTTATGTAAGAGCTGTAGCCTCCAGCACAGCACGCAAACACACGTAAACAGCATCTAACAGCAGAAGCGCCTTGAAGACTTCCAAGTCGGCATGTGGCGGATTCGGGTTTGGACAGCCGATGCGATTGAAGTTGCTGATCAGCGTGCTGTTCGTGACCGCTGGATCTCCTTCTGCGAAATGGAAGAGGTGCTCCCTGACACGGTGGAGCTTCTTGTTCACCTGGCTTGCTTGCTACAAACCAGGCATCCTTGGGCCTACAGGAAGAAACGCAACCCATCCACGTTGCGGAAGATTTCACCGAAGATGCCGAAGTGGATGTTGGCCTTAGCGAATGAGCTGGTTCTCTTCAAAGAAGGTGTGTTGTAGCTGCTTGCTTGGTTTCTTGTACTGTCTACTATCGCATGCAACTGCTCTGCTCACGCTGAGACGGTATAAAAATGCCCCACAAGCATGTTTGCAGACGAGCGCAGATTCGTAGGCTGAGAGACTGGCCAAGGCTTCGAGCAGGGCTACCGCGCCAGCGCCAACACGATCTTGGCACGATGCAGCGCCCCAGCCATCATCCAAACCTTGTTGTTTTAAAGCTTTAAGCGCTATTAGCCAGCCTACTGCAAGGTGCAAAGATACGGGACTGCCATTCATTGCTGCCATTCCTTGCAAAAGGCAAGCAAGAGGCAGGGCAGGAAGAGCTTGTCTGCAAGATGCGAGATGCTGGTCTCAAGTGCCATGGCATATGCCAAGGCTGCATCGGAACCAAGAAAGTCCATGGTAGCCACAGAAAGCAGGTCGTTGCTGAGCTTTCTTATCTCCAGCTGCGTCTCCCGGAGACTTGCAGCGTCGACTGCATCCTGCGCAGGGGACTCAAACTTCAGGGGTCTTGCAACTCCGGCTGGGCTGCATATGACCTACGGTGGATGTTCCATACCTCGCTGGTGGACATGGCTGGGGTTACGCTTTTGATTATCTTCCCTGTCGTTCATTCATCATGTCGCAAAGCGGCGGGAGGAACCATGACTTAACATCTCTTACGCAGCACGGATCGCTGCCTCATTGTCACTGTTTTGTTGTCTCCCTGCCGCTGCACAGGGCTTTTCAACGTCAGCCACTAAAGTGGCTGCCGCCCGAAACATAATGTAGTGGTTCGTAACTGGGACTGTGGTTCCCGTGCAGGCGGGATTCTCATCCCAAATCGCACACCTTTCAGAAACATCACAGCGATACGCCTGAGGCCCAAGCACAGTGTTCCCACGCGGAAAGCTTTACATATTCTACGAATCTAAGCTTTACACTGAACAGACGAAACCCAAATTCAACACTGCGATCCCCAAACCCTAGACCTTAGAGCTCCTAACCATGAACCTCAACCCCCGAATCATTAACCTTGAATCCAAGTAGGCCTGTCGCAACACATGGGCACTTCTTCACGCCTCGACTTGAACTGGTTACATTGGCCACCTTCATTATTCAGACCCGTCACGCGGATCTGATACTCCCCTTCAGTCCTTGATCAGTCCCTTCGTCTCCTCGAGCACTTCTTTCATCCATTTCGCTTTGGCCTTGATGTGTGGCAACGAATGCAACAGCGGGATTTCATTGGCACCGGGGGAAATTCGTCTTGCAAACCTAAGATTACCCGTTGGACTGAAACGTCCAAGTTTCAATTGCCAATGTTTGGTCGATCTGCTGCTGAACGCTGCCGCTTGTCACCTTTTCCTCTTCCTGTATCGGCATGAAAACGTCAGCGATGGCAAGAGCGGCAGCGACACCGGGACCCAGGAAGGGCGTGATACCCTTCAAGCCGGATAAAGCGTCAGCACCTATCTGTGTAATGGTCTTCGATGTTTCCCAAGCTGCTTCTTCCCAATTGTTCACGGCAAATTGGTCCCCGAACTGGTCACCATCACCTTGGACTTCGGAATGCAGCCAACCCCCCACAACACCAGCTGCCATCAGCGTGACGATTGCAAGGCCTGAGTTTTTGGTCGAAACGGCATCGCCTGCATCGGCCAATTGATAGGCATGGGTCCGCCTGAGTTTGAACCGCACATCATTGGCATAGAGCTGGCGTTCCGAGCGCTGCGGCACGTTGCCGGTGTGACTGCCTCGCAGAGCAGGCGATGTCGTCGTCAAGTTTTGCGGAGGAAGTGGCAAAGGTGTCGGGTCCTCTCCAAGTGATGATGACGCCAGCAATAGAAGACCAAAGGACAGCTTCATGGCGGTGAGAAACATGCTAGAAGATTACAAACTAATCTTCGAACGTTCTCGAGCCCTGAACTTGAAAGCTGAGGTTTGGACATCGCCACAAAGAACTGCAAAAGCGCCAGTAGCGATCACAAGGGCGCACACACAGCCCACATGCGCAATGCGAACGAAAATCTACCAGTTCGAAGTATCGCAAGCACGGAAGGAATTCTGAGAGCCTGCTTTGTTTATGTATTGTCTCGGCCAGAAGGAATAACGGGTTTGGCTAATAAAATTGAACGGGGGGTCTGCGATGGCTGTGGCCATGTCACCACTGATGACATTTGCAGCCATGAGATTCCTGCCATCACTGAATTAGAATTAAAGGACCGGAGAACCCCGCATGTGTAGTTTAACCCGAATCTAAGTGGGATACTATCAGGGAGTCACAAGCACACAAAAAACCTGGTGCTTTGAGGTTGCTGAACTGGTTTTCGCCCTTGTTTCGGGCAGGTTCCAAATTTCAGGGGAAGGCATGGTTGCCAAACGGGGAATTAAGAAAGGAATTTTGATGTTCAGGAATGTGTTTATTACTGTGGTTTCGGTGTTATTTTAATGACAAGACGAAGGGCGACACGGAAAAAATTGGAACTTGAAGATATCAGCTGATGGATGCCACGGCCTTCCCAAAGTCCTACTCCATAGGGCGCTGGTAGCACCTTGAACCACGAACGGAATCATGGTTTGGGCATGGATGCCCTGGTCACCGTATGCTCGTGGAACACGAACGGAATCATGGTTTGGGCATGGGTGCCCTGGTCACCGTATGCTCTTGGAACAGAAACGGAATTATGGTTTGAGCATGGGTGCCCCGGTCACCGTATGCTCTTGGAACAGAAATGGAATTATGGTTTGGGCATGGGTGCCCTGGTCACCGTATGCTCTTGGCACAGAAACGGATTGTTCTCACGCTTGAGCCTTGAGGTGAGGGTTAGGGAAACAAACTCAGTTCAGCAAGAAACTAGGTGCACTCCCAAGGGTCCAAGTTGCAACGAAACAAAGTGTAGCGCAAGCGACTCTCCTTTTTTTCCGTGGTGGCAAAACTGGTGACTGTCACTGACCTGTCGAGCCTGACCTTAAGAAAGGGCACCTGTGCTGCACGACACAAACTACCCCAAAGGAACTGAGCTGACCGCAGTACCCCCACACCCATTGAGTGACGTAGGAGTTTGAAGATCATGCACTGTGCTCTCAAGATCTTTTTTTTGGGGGGGGCCTAAACCTAAAACTATGGGTGCCAGGAAAGCTGGGCATCTGGCGCACGGGTTCCAACCTTATGGGAGCGGAGGGTGGGTACCAAAATTTTCTCAGCCAAACTTTGCACATGCAAGGTGGTAAATGGCACTTCTGACAAACTCACTCACACAAGAATTCTTGCAGCAAATCAAATCAGAAATTTTTAATGCCGAACTTAGAACCATGCTGCGCTTTTCCTATGGATTTGTTTGAAGCCCTATCCAAAGCTCGTGCAGACTTCGTTCAGGCCTGTGCTGTCTTGAAGGCTGCGGCAAACAGTGAGGTTAAAGTTAAAGCAACGAGACGGCAGAAACTGGAAACCAAGTCCCCTTGGTAAACTGCCCTGACCTTTCTAAAGTTGGGGGTACTGCGGTCAGCTAAGTTCCTTTGGGGTAGTTTGCGTCGTGCAGCACAGGTGCCCTTTCTTAAGGTCAGGCTCGACAGGTCAGTGACAGTCACCAGTTCCGCCACCACGGAAAAAAAGGAGAGTCGCTTGCGCTACACTTTGTTTCGTTGCAACTTGGACCCTTGGGAGTGCACCTAGTTTCTTGCTGAACTGAGTTTGTTTCCCTAACCCTCACCTCAAGGCTCAAGCATGAGAACAAGCTCATTGGGCTTGCTCAAATGCCTTGTTCGTGAGCTTGATGGTGGGGGGGTGGGAGGAGACTAACTTCAGGAAATCACACCACTGGAGATTAACTCTAAGAGAGGGGTTGGAGGAACTAAAGTCCCCGTTCGTAAGTGCATCCGCCTCTGAGTTTGCATCACGGGGGTGGCAAGACAAGATTTGTTTCTTGCCAACCTGCTGCAATGACGTCGACACCTGCATGCGCAACGGCATCAAAGGCCACTTGCCCGTGATTTCTTTTCTCTGCAGAGCTGGCGTGGAATGGTTGTCTGTCCCAGCTGAGACCATGACCCGGAGAGAGTCCCTGAGGTCTGCAACGCCTGGCTTAAGAAAACCAAAAGCCACAACAGAGGCATGTGAAGCCAGCAACTCGGCAGAAGTGGAGGCCCATGAGGATTCCCCTTTGTCGTTGAACAACCACGGGACTTCGGCAGGGCCCAACTCTAAAGAGAACCACTTAGCCTCCAAAAGACAAGAAGCGCCATCACACAACCAACCTCCTAAGACCACACGAACCTGATCACATTTGGCATCGCTGCGAAAGGCACCACGAGGCTTGCCCCATTTCACTCGCACTGGCTGTTGCCCGCAAGCACGTTGCAGCTCGCTCCGGACAAACTGCAAAGAGATAAACGCCATCTCCGGCAGCCGGGCACATGTGCCCCGGCCCAGCACACTGTTGAAAGCGTAGAGCGGCGAGAGGAAAGGCTTCATCCAAGTCAGAACCCGAGCAACAAACCCCAAGCGGCCTACGAGCTCGGTAAAGGCCCTCCCTGTCGTCAATAAACCTTTGGACTCAACACTCTCCATCCACTCAACGATCCACTTGACTCTCTTGGGGGCAATGCCTACAGTCCATGACTGATAAGACAACCTGTAGCCGATGAAGTCAGCCTGCAACCCCCCGCCAAACTTGTGGAAACTGAAGGGGGTACCCAAAACTCCATAGGCAAGGAGGATGACCCACAAGTGCAAAAATTTGTTCGGCCCCTTCACAACCAGATTAAGGTCGTCGACGAACACGATCTGAACCTGCCACCGGTTCCTCATGATGCGAAGGGCCATCTCCCTAGAGAGGCGAATAGTCTCGTCCACCAATAGGACGCGGAGCTCACTCCGAACGTCCCTACGGCATTTACCATAGAATCTTGGAGGGTGAAGAACTTTTGCATCCAAGGGAGGCCCAATCGCCTCTCGCAACCTTCACCCTTCGGTGCGCCTGGGCGATATCGGCCGACACGCTAAAGCAGACCTCTCCGGTCTCTTGCGCCATGCGCACAGCTTCCACAAGTTCCTCTGGGCCGGGAACCTCCAAGCGATCCTGAACGCAGATGCGGTTGTTCAAGTTCACGCCATGCGTGGCATCGTGGAGTGGACGAATGTCCCCGTGAGGCTTCTCCACTGCCCCCAGAGCAGCAACCAGAACTTCACTGGCACCGTATTCTCGTACGGCACATGCCTCAGTCGTTGGGATCATCATCCCGCTCTCGGCATCCTTGCGGAAGTGATCTCAGCTGACGCGTAGTTCTGCATCACGGGTTCAAAGGGGGTCTCATCAAGCTTGCGTTGTTTGACCCTCCTATGGAAGACCTGAGGAGTGCGGGGAAGTGGTGCACGGTGCCC